CCCTAGAAAGGAGTTCTCCAAGAGGTATAAGGACACACTTTTAATTGTAGGCAAACCATTTTTTTCTAAGCACACCCAAAGAATCATCAGTTGATAATGTAAAATGCAAAAGAAGTAACCTCTTAATTGTAACTTTTTTCAGCATTTCACGTTCAAAGGGCTCCTATAGCGACTGTTATATCAGAAAAGAACTATGATTCATTTTAAGAGGAGCCAATAAAATGGAAATAAAAACTAGGATTGTATTAATCAGTAACCACTGCGCACACAGGTATAGAACACATTTTAAAAGTTACACCAGTTATTCATTAAACAGAGTGTAGAGCAAATCAGTTCTACAAGTCAAACTAATTTCAGCAGGTCAGTAAAGGAGGGGGAACTGAGCTGTTCCTCTGTTAAGACTAATCACTACCTATCAGCTGAATTCTTGCTATAGAACCGGTACTCCTAAACTGAGTACCAAATAAGACAGTCCCCAGAAAGTTGTATTAAACTACTGGCACATGTTTCTTGGCTTGCATAGAAGCACAGCATTCAGTTTACAACATAGCATCACTCAGCTTTGCAGCGTGGTCTACTTACATGTTTGCATAAGCCCGGCTATGAGACAGGAGAGCCCATATGCCTACCATGAAGCCACACAGGTTAACACTGAAAACTGTGAAATGAGCAGAGTCAGAGCTGTCTTTGTACTAACCTGGGAACAGCTACACAGCTGGGGGTACTTGCCAATGAATACACTGTCTTTTGTTAGCATATTATAAAATCAAAACCCAGTGTGATTCCAATTCCCCCACTACCTTTTCAGAACAAAATATCCATGATGAACCAGACGAGTCAGTAGGTATCAGTACCTGTACACAGGAGTTCATCTCACTTACGTTTCCATCATGATTGGGGCACGAGAGCGGCTTGCCGGCAGCAACAGCGGTGACCGTCTCCAGAATGGAGGACTCTTCAATGCTGTTGTCCGGCGTTCGTTGCAGGACATCCATCAGGTTGGTGATAAAGAAGTTGTTCTGGAGTGCAGAAACCCCTTTCTCTGGCAGAATGGAGGTTTGGCGGCACACGGGGCAAGAAAGTGTTAAGCTATGGGCTGGAATGTAATTCTGTAAGCACCTATGGGGAAGGGCGGTGGAAGGGGAGAAAGAGAGGCAAAGTGTCATCAAAGGGGAAAAAAGCTCTTCAGTTTAACTGCTAACTGGTTTGAAATAGTGCTTATAAAAGGAAAGGTACATCACCAAGCTACAGAAGTAAAAGTGGTTATAGGGATTTTCTTTCCTTCAAATATTTTTAACTCTGCCACATGAAAAAAAGGTTCAATAAACTGACATCATTGTAAGAATTATGTGCCTTTCTTTGAGATATTCATGCAGAGTGGATCCGAGCTTCCAGAAATCTACTACATCCTGCTCACAGGGTAGTAAAAATAATAAACTATCAGATAAAGTTTGACAGGCATGGAGTTATTGCATCCAGTATTTGAGCCTGTGTCTTTAACTGACTAACCAGTGGCTGACCTTTCTCTTGCCAATAGAATCTCGTTTATTAACTTGTATTTGTGGGTTTAGTGTTTCAGAGCTAAAATCTGGTCCCTATGAAACCAATGGAAATGTTTCCGTTTATTTCAATTAGGAAAGTTATTTGGCAGATAGCCAGAATCAACAGAGCTCTCTTTAGTACATGGAGAAGCATGTCCCTGGTTATCACAGTTTATGTTAAGGGCAGTTGTAGAGGACATTTTTGTTTGCTTGTGTTTGATGCATATGTGTGTGAGGGGGTGTTGCTGGATTGTTTGTGTTTTGGTTTTTGGTTTTTTTTTTTTTTTTTAGGGCAACTAAACTTCACAGAACTGACACAAAAGTTCTGTGATCAACAATGTGCAGCAGACTGGAGTAGGTGACAGTGCCACTTGTGGCCTCAAAAATCAAGTTAACAGCTGCTGGGCATGCGCCAGCCAACCGCAACTGGCAATTCAGTACAGTTCCATAGCACAGGAGCTTAGCAGAATGCAGTCCTTAATGAACCCAAAAGTAGAGCAGCACTACACCAAACTCCTCCTGAGATGCCAACCAAGAAGGTGTGTCCTCACAGAGTTACACAGCTCTTCTCCACTTCCAAGGGCTTTGCCTACACCACTGTTCACCCTTCCCTTTGCAGCTTGTCTCCTGATCCTCCAGTAAGGGCTCTGTGAAAGGAGAGCTTAGGCTTTGCACATTGGCAGTACACTGGAAGAGTTCTTCCAGCCTCTCTCCATAACCAGATCAGCATAAGAGGATTACAGTGAAAACCAGAAGCTGACCTTAGGATTTACACATGAACTGAAGTCAAGAAACTTAAGATACGGTGGTAAAAATCTTGACTTCACTGACTTGAGTGAGAGTTTCACTGCTGACTTCAGTAAAGTTGGAGTTTCCTATTTTTCTACAAAAGACAATTTCATCTGACACACTCAGAGATCCACAGTTTTTCTTGCCCCCTGTAAAAAATTATATCTGCATACCACAATTTTAACTAAGAGGTAGAAATCTTCTGAACCAGATGTTCACACAAAATACCATTTATTATAATTCTCATGCCATTCAATATAAAATCCACAGAGCTGCATTCCATCGTCACACAAAGAACTCTAACTAACAATTCTTCAGATAATTGTTCTGCAGACACTGTATTCTCTCCAACGTCTGAGACATAACAACATTAATGTATCACTAAGTATATGCAAATCATTCAGCCGAATACAGTAGAAGGCAGGTTGCTGTTTTATTACATCTCTTTTCAGACTTCCTCCATTTCAGTCAACCAAGCTACAGAATAATGAAGCCACTTACTCACTGGTTATTAATAATGTCTATATCATGTCTCACCCTTGGACATTACAGGGTGGGATAATTATTTCTCTGCTCAGTAAATCAACAAAGAATGTTTTTATTGTTTCTAATTATAAAATAATCAGTATAAATTTGAAACTATTAATTTGAGGTGCAAATTCTGACTGCCATCACCTTTCACACTGTTGTTACTGTATTCATTAGTTTAATTGGATTTACATTTTATTTATTCTTGCATAAAGGGAATGTATTACAAATATTCCACTGCTGTCTCTTCTTCGCCTCCCACAAATAACTATTTTTCTACACCCCTGCCTTTCCAGCCTTCCAGAATTTATTGTGACGTAACAAGTAAAAAGAAAAACCTCTGTTCACTAAAGGATGCAGAGTTCTGTGCTTGTTGCATGACACAAATACCTAGTTACAAGCATGAGGAAAGGACTTACCTCTCACAGAAAGTGTGCAGGCAGGGAAGTACTTTGGGGTTCTTGTAACGGTCCAGGCATATGCTGCAAATCAGAAACTGCTTGTCAATCTGACGGACCACAGGACTTGGGATGCTGGAGCCTTCACTGGCCATCCTAGACCACTGACATATGGGTCCTGTTCCCTTCTACCCTGCACACTGCTGGAGTGGGGTGGGGAAAAGAAAAAAAAAAAGAAGAAAAATGGCTTATAAACTCTGTGAAAAATAACAAAATCAACAACTAATTCACTCATGTTTCTTCCTGATGCAGGAATTCATGTTGCTTTTTAAACCCAGCCAGCAACTAAGCACCACACAGCTGCTCACTCACTCCTCCCCATTGAGATGGGGAGAGAATCTGAAGTGTAAAAATGACAAAAGAAAAAGTCACACATGCAAGCAAAGCAAAATAAGGAATTCATTCACCACTTCCCATCAGTAGGCAGGTGTTCAGTCATCTCCAGGGAAATAGGGCTCCATCAGGTGTAACAGTTACTTGGGAACACAAACGCCATGATTATGAACATCCCCCCCCCCCACTTCCTCCTTCTTCCCCCAGCTTTATACGCTGAGCATGATGTCACATGGTATGGAATATCCCTTTGGTCAGTTTGGGGTCAGTTGTCCCAGCTGTGTCCCCTCCCACCATCTTGTGCCCCCCAGCCTACTCACTGGTGGGGTGGGGTGAGAGGCAGGAAAGGCCTTGACTCTGTGTAAGCACTGCTCAGCAGTAACAAAAACATCCCTGGGTTATCAACACTGTTTCCAACAAAAAGCCAAAACATGGCCCCGTACCAGCTACTGTGAAGAAAGTTAACTCTATGCCAACCAAAACCAGCATACCACATAAACAAAACCAGTGAAGAATTAAAATTCTAAAAGAGTTTATTAGTGATGAGAGCCTGGGAAACAGTCAGCCAAGTTTACAACACCACACATAATGCCTCTGTCTGAGTAGGCGTTCTGGAAAGGATTGTTGCTTCTGGCCTTAAAGAGCTACAGGGCTGTCTGGTTTTAAAGAAATATCACTATAGGAATGTTCTTGTGCCAGCAGGTTCAGCCAGTGCTAACAAACAAAGGATTTCTTATGTCTACAGTACCTCTGGCAAAATGCTTAAACTGGAACTGCACCAGCCAGTCAAATGGCTGCATCACAGACAGAGTTTGAAAACAGTTCACCTAACATTATTTTCCCTTATCAGTGCTGGTATTGCCAAAGATACGGTAGGTTTGGACTCCAGGAAGGCCCCAAAAAGGGACCTCCAGAACAAGTCATCCCCTGGAAAGGGAGTGCTCAAATTCTTCATCAGCAACAGGGGGGAGGTAAGTGAAATGAAAAGCCTCAAGATAAAAGAAATTGAGCAAAGAAGAGGCAACCCATAGCTGCTGAGAATCAGCAAAGGTAGGCTGAAGGATACATGAAGCACATCCAAATAATAAAAGCAAAAAAAAAAAGACATTCTAGGAAGAAAGAGTAGTAAGAATCATGTTTCTAGGACTGATGACTCTTCATAGCCCTGGCATAAAAAGTATGAATCAAAAGGGTAAGAAAAAAAAATCTACTGACTGATGGAATTAAAATTGCAGGTTAAAGGAACGCCAGCAGGTTTGGAACTCCTCCTGTCCTGGAACAAGGCACAGGGAGAGAAAAACTTAGTTTCTTTTCAGCCAGAGGTATAGATTATAGCCAACAGAATTCATATGTGGAAAGAGAAGACAAGAGGAAAAGAAAAGAAGCAACCTCAGAGGAAAGTAACCTGCCTGCTAAAAGAGTTGAAGAAAGCCTGACAAGCAGAGGCCTTGGCAGGGTGGTCCAGCAATAACTCCTCTCCATCTCCAGTGAGCTGGAGCACTGGGAGGTGCAGGCTCAATCCCTGGGGAGCTGACTGCAGCATCTTCGTCACGGCACTTTCTGCCAGTCCTCCCACACCCACAGCGTAACGGGGGCTCCTCGTCGCATGAGCAGCAAGCCCAGCTGGGCTCCTTCGCTGCGGCTGCACTCCAGAGGTAGTAACTTCCTCCCTAAACATTTTCTATCTTTGTTTCTAGCCATCCATTTCAGACAATTTGATGTGTGGGCTCTCCAAGACAGAAATAACAAGCCCTCCCTCTGCCTTGGTGCTGACCGCGCTCATTCAGAGGTCACTCAGCTCCTCAATGACCTGTGTGACCTGTACCATTTTATCAGCAGCCTTTCATCGCATCTCCTTCCTCTGCTGAATGCACAGCATGCCGGTCTGGCGGAGCTGAACTCCAGCTGCTCTTGCTCAGTGGTGTATTTAGTCGTAGAGGTATGGTTTCCTTACTATCGAGCAAGCGGCTATTTCTAGGGTAATGCCAGTGAATATGGATCATGGTTCCTGGGGAATCACCTCTGTGCTAGCAAGTACAGCAGCATAAAGTTATTCACAATAAAAATACGCACACCAGTAACTGACATGTAATTCTATGGAAAACGCTTAGGGTAGACCCTTTGCTTCCCTTTTTTTTCTTTCCAAGAAAGGGGAATTTGCAAGGTTAAAGATTGCTATAACACTTGTAAAATATCATGGTTGTTCATGTCCCAAAAATGCATGATTTCAGGATTGATAATTTGTTTCACTTTTTTTCATTTCTTTCCCCATAGTAAAGAAAAAAATGTGAATATTCCATAAGCACATATTGATTTTATCTATTTAAATGGTACATAAATCACACACAATAAACCTTAGGAGATCAATTAGGAACCTGTGTTACTTTTTAAAAGCTTGAGATAAAAAAAGGCTTTACAAGAACTGGAACCAAAACATCAATCTTTCACAAAACGGAGTAGATGGAGCAGACTGTCAGACATGCATGAACATATTCATGCATTTGGCAGCATAACATGCAGAACTTCAGTGACATGTTGCAAAAGAAAATCCATTTCACCACTGATACAGCTGTGTTTGCCTCCCACTCTCCCTCCCCAGAAGTTAGGGGTGGGGACTCAAAAAACACTCAAGATAATCAGAAGCAGGAAGACTTCTTCGATAAGGACATGGATACGTTATCAACACTGTAGTTTTTTGTTATAGACTAAGCACAGACTATTTTAAAAAAATGTACTTAAGATATGAAAGTTCTCCAGTGAATGCTGCCTGTCATTTAACAGAAGACAGTTCTTTAGCAACCAGCTTTTTTCTGTAATTTCATCTTTCTGCCATCAAATACAGCTACAACAGCAAATACTGTTTATATAAGGAAAACTCCTGCTGCCTAAAAATTTTCATTTTGATTTAAACTGATCTTCATCTTGGTCTTTTACATTCCCCCAGTCTCACTGTAGAACCAGGTGGTTCTTAGCGTTTCATACACAAAGCTCATTCCAGTCCCTTTAATTTTCAAATGTTGACACATTAAGTTTTGGCAGTGAAAGAAACAATTAACAATTCAGAAATAAGTACTTTTAATATATGATGTTTTGTCTGAAATGCAGCAGGCCATGACTGTCGTTTATTCCCTGTACTCTCATAAATCAAGCTTAAAACATGCACCTGAAAATAGAATTTCAGCAGTACATTTCAAGCTTTGACCGCTACCTGGTACAACAACTTCTTACCCAAGGGGTTCATTTAAAGAAGTTGTTTTAGTATGGAATTTCCAGGGCTTTGAAGCCTCCCTGAGCCAACTCCACCTTTGACGCATTTATCATGAATATGATGTAGCTACAACAAGGGTGATTTTGCCCACTGACTCAATGAAAGCAACTGTACAATCAAAGACCAGGTGAGGAAAAGATGGAGATTGTAGATGATGCTTTTGAATTTTGCCAAAGACAGCTTTTATTCTGATTTACTACCAGGCTCACAGCAGTTCCTCAAAACAGCAACGTAAGTAAGCAACGTATATCTTACAGCAATGTAAGATGTATCTGAAGCAGTGGGAGATGTTGCGAAATAACACTATGTCTACAAGAAAAACATTCTATTTTCTAGTAGCATCTTCTGAGCTCAGAAACTGCCAGAGTTCTTTTTGGCAGTTCATGCTGTCTTACAATGTAATAGAGAGCAGCTGAAGCATGAGCTTTGAAAATAAGTCTGAGAATCACTTCTCCATATATTTACACTTCATAATTTAAACATTCAAAGCCAAAGCTTTGTGAAACATTGCACCAAATGACATAAAACCCCACCCATTTCTTCACAAGAAGCACACACTGGAAACCCAGTTCAGGTTTGCTAAATCAAGTGCAGAAAAGGGTTCTGAAATGTATACTCTTTGTCATCCTTTGGAGGCTCAAGGGTTGTTATCTTTCCAGCCACCCCAAAAGTATCATGGTTCTTTTTCCTTCTGCTTGGAGATACGACTATAAATTTTCACTCAGAAGATGCTGTACCGCAAAGAAAGGGGAAGACAATGGCTCTCTAAGCTGGAGGAAAGCCTTGCCCTGCTACGCATGCACGCCTTCAGGAATGAAAGTCAGGGTGTGGCCCCACCCATATGAAAAGAACTTATAGTATTAGAAAAGGGAAAAAAAAACCAAAAACTCATTAGGGTACAGCAAACAACAATTCCAGAAAAGCTGTTTCAGATAAATAGAGCCATGTGCACCCTTTCTACAGGCATCTTCAAACGAGCTCTGGAATTCCTCAGCAGTTACTGAATTCCCTGTTAGTTGGTGTTGCCGAGTGGAGAAAAGACATCGGGAAAACTTGTAACTGTCTGTTCAGTTCCCTGGATTTATTCCTAAAAGAGCAGAATTCTCTGTTACTGATACACTGCTATCACCGAACTCCACCCAGCCAGAGCTGCAGCTAGCCTGCAAGTACAGCCTGCGGAGAACAAACTGCTCGCAGCGCCTTCATCCCCTTCTTATCAATGGTATTCACAACCCAGAGGGTCTATTCATGCATTATGAATGAACAGGTTTCCAATGGCAACGTTAGGCCTGGAGAGCACTAAGAAAGGGTGGGGAACCTCAATTAATGTTGCTTCAAGGACTGGAGGAGCGGAGGTTTAAAAAGTCCTTAAAACAGGTATATCGCCTGGCCACAGCCTTTGGAATAATGGTACATTCAAGCCGTTTCTAGCAGCAGCCCCAGAATTAGCTGATACAGAACACACTGAGCAAATTAACAATCATAACCGCCACACAGTCCACTTGTTTAAAAAGCTCGATGAGCTACATTTGCACCTCTTACTCTCCCACTCTTGTGACCAGTTTGGTGCCTTGTTCGAAACACGGCAGCCCCCTTCATTCTCACAGCATGCAGAAGCATAATGAAGGATCGGGGGCCAAACCGTAAGGAGCGACCCAGCAGCAGCCACCAGGAATAACACCGAGCAAACTTGAGCATTTAAGACCTACCCATCTTTGTAGAAAAAAAGCTTAATCAGTGCAGGGCTGAGGATAAAATCCTTGCAGGGACGGAGCTGCAGTTCCGCAGTAATCCAAACGAACAAACCATCATCTGTTAACATTTCAAGCCTCACGCGTAAAACTGTTTAAGAATCCTATCACAGCACGGTCATTATTAGATGCACAACAGATTTTGTGCTCTAAGGAATGACGCTCCATTCCACGAAAAGGACAGGTGGAGAGAAAAATGGAAGAATAAGAGGAGGCCCAGTGAAGTCGTCATGAATTTTTTTTTTCCCCCGGGTCATTTACAAGTGGGAGACCCCTTCAGGCTTCAGACCAATCAATCTTTATTTAGCACATCTTTTTCTCACTCAGGCTGTGTAGAAGGACTGCAGCAAACGGTGCAAGGGATTGTGGGATAGGGATGCAGCAGAGAGCTGCAACCAGATTCGCTGGGTTCTTTTTTTTTTCCTCCCTACTCAGCAATCAGCTGTTCGGAGGCTCTGCGCAGGGCCATTGAATGTGGTCGCCAGAATGTTATTACAGGATTAGCGGGCGGAGACAGCTACCACTGTGCATCTGGCACGGCAATGCAACTAAGGAATACATTTGCAAATATTACAGGCAAATCAGAATAAGGCTTTAACTCCAAAGGGGAGAGTTAATATCACATAATGTCCATTACCAGGACAGCCGCCGCAGATGGAATGAGACCACTTTCATTTATAAAGGAGATAAAGCTTAAACACTTTGTAATTCCACCCCGATTCTTCCAGGATTCAAAGTATTTCTTGGAACATAATTCTTCCCTGCTCCAGCTTTCGGTGACAAGAAAAGACCCCATGAACGCTCTTTGTCTCTCCAGATGTTTGAAGCAGAAGCAAAGAACCTCTTCAGAAAGCTGTGCTACTGACACACAAACCAGCAGCAGTTTCTCCTACTCCGGAGCTGCGTGTTTGCCCTGACTCAGACTTGAGTCAAATATTTAAGGCAGCAATTAGTAGAATCATATTCAAGGAACGTGAGAAACAAAGCGAACAGTCTGTTCAACTTTCGTACAGACATTAATGCAAAGGTGCAGTCTCTTAGTTGACCTATTTACTTCTTTTTAAACATTTGAAATCACAGATTGGTTCAGATTTTACTAGGCTGTTACCAAAGGAAATAAAAAGAAATTTGGTGTCTGGTATTTTTCAGCTATGCAGATAAGGCTGTTAAGATGCTTGTGAACACAGAAACTACTGAAGTAAAGCAACACAGAATTAGCTTTGTCTTCCAGCATAACAGCTGGTGGGTTTTGCAGACAAGGTAGTATTTGCATCTCTAAATACAGTGAATTTTTTCTTTTGGAAAAAAAAAAAAATCACATGCAAGTATTTCAGCTAACTGAGGCTAACAAAGCTTCCCACAAATAAAAGGACACAAGGGTCCATTTGCATCAAGAAGAAAATGTGGGGTTTAAATACTGTCAGTGCTACACTGACTTAATTAGGACAGATATAGTTATCTTGGAAGTTTAAAATGTTGTCCTAAGGTCTTTAAGCACAGTTTCCAGATCACAGTATTTATTCCGGTCTTGGGCTGATGAGGTAAATAGTATTAATGATCTTTTAGCATGACTAAAATGTAATCTAAATTCCCGTTAAAGATACAGATTCTGCATACATCATTTACTTTCCACTTGGCAATTATTTAGCCAGGTTGGTTTTATGCATCTGGCAGATCCAGCCTGGTTTCCCTGGGTAATGCCCACAGGGTGAAAGCATGTTGTAATCCAGTTTATAACCTGAAATGAAATATCAGGCAGTGTGTGTGCGTGTGTTAGGATTTTGGGTGCTTATGCCAAAATACTGCTCCTCTGATTTCCTTCAACATGTGCTGAGCTCTGTCAAAGGGAGAGAACGAAATACGTTTCATTTTAGTTCCAACATTCCGCAGGTCAGAAGAAGGCAGCATCTGCACAGCAGGATTCAGTTTAAAAAAAGGTCAGAGATTTCAGGCACATTTTTGGGGGTGTGTTTTTTTAATGTTTGGTTGAGGGGTTTTTTTGTTTTCTTTTTAAACTGTCTAGATAACCCCCATTACAAAGAGGAATAAGCAACATATTTCACTCCCCCAACATGGAAATCCAAGGCCTTTTGTTTCTGCCACTGGAACAAAGACACAAGACAAAAACTGAAAGAGAAAATTCAGGAGTGGCACCCCCAGAACCAAAGTGGAAGACTCTTGGACAGAAGCATGAAGAGATCACTTAGCTACTTGTTTTTTCCTGCTCTTTTCAAGCATCAAATTTATGTACACGAAAAAAGAATGACAAGTATTTCTCAAATGACTAGTTCCATTTAGAGTCAGTAGTAAGGACTACATACCCCTTGAATCAGAACTGATCCTGTAAGGTACCTCATGGCCAGAGGAGACTGCAGGAGTCACAGCTGCAGCCACTCTCACAGGGATCTGCACCTCCCAATAAGAGACTGCTTCAAAATGCAGTTCTCTTGTCATTAACTCTAGGACAATGCTGAGAATGGCCTGAAATTCTGCAAATAATCTGGCTTCTTCAACAAAACAAAAATGTGGCACTGTGGCAAGGAAAATGAGACAAAAGTCATAGCATTTTCCTGGTGATTTTTGTTCTTATATGTTGAACATTGATACGTGGGTTTCTTCTCCCTAGTGAAGAAGAAAGGAACTTGTAGCTCTGTGAACAGTCTTGCCCTTTACCCTCATAGCAGTTACTGCCAGCCTTTTTCACACAGATTTATTGTATGTGTGTATCTTTTGAGCGGGGAGATGGGAGTGGAGGTTGTTGTTATGTGCTGGGGATTTTTTTTGGTTTGGTGGGGGTTTTTTGGGGTGTTCTTTTTGTTTGTTTGGCTTTTTTAAAGAACAGGTTACTTTCAGAAATTTGCTGCATTCATCTTTGCTGCTGACTTATCAGTGAAGTAAGTTCTGGAGAAGAAAATACATAGCACGTGCCATTTTCATAGTGCCATGGAACAGTAGTCTAGTCCCTGTTATCATCCCCCTGTAGTTGCCATGTTTTTAGAATAATTTATTCTTTTCCCTGTTCCAACCACAACCTGAATTCATGTTCTTAGGGAGCCCAGAAAGAGTAAATTACTAAAAAATCCTCACAGCTAATTTAGAGACCATCAGTAGATATTGGTATATCCTTCCATAATATTCAATAAGTCATCTGAGCACTCCAGGTTAAGATTAATTGTCTGCATGGAAGCCTCTGCTATAAATTGAAGAGAAAGTAGTCCAACTCAGCCTTCTATATAAAAGAGTTTTTAAGGTCAGCAGAAAATAAAAAGTAAAAAAAGGGTTAGTCTAAACGAAAACAGTCGTAGCAATTAAGACTGACTGGAAAATAAGAGTTGGGAGAGGCCAGAAATCAATTACCCAAAGTCAACATGCTGGGAACAAAGGCTAGCTTGGCAACACAAACGTAGGAGAGCATGGGCTGCTACAGCCGTTGCAGAGCTCCATGTCCTTAATTTGACCCTGGCACCAGGAAAGCCAGTGGGTGAAACAACAAAGCTCTCTCATTGTGGGACCATGCCCACACTGGGAATCAAGTGGCCTTAGTCATCCCTTAGCCAGCGGTGGTGGAGGCGCCTTTACCTTTCCCCACTGCGGCTGCGCACCCATGCAGACCTAGCAGCTCCTGCTGAGCAATGCCACTCCCAGCCCTGACCCCACATTCTCCAATAGGCCAGGCTGTAGCTTGCATGGCCTGGGAAAAGCCACAGCTTCCTCCCAGTGCAGGCTTGTAGCTGGAGGGCATGTCTGCCCCAAAAGCAGCTCTGCTAGGTCCTGGTTCCTCCACACCAGCCATGGCCTGGAGCCACAGTAACTCCCTCATCTTGTGATCCAGTGGAGCAGATGCTTTTCCACAGAGCTTGTGACCCAACACATGGCTCCTCATAGCCTCAGAGGCAAAGAACTTGAAAGGTTTGCCTAGGATGTAATGCTGGTCCGCTGGAGGCTTTCCCAGCCCCCACAGCACCCCTCCTCCTATGCCTTTGCCACCTTGTCCTATTTCCTTCTGCCTTCTGCTTACGCCTGGTCTAGCTTGCCAAGGCTGTGGCTCTCACAGCACAACTGCAGGTGGGTTGGGACAGCCTGGCCTCCCTGCTCAGCCAGCCCAAGCTTGGCTGATGTGACTGCACTCCCTGCCTGTCTCCAGCACTGCTGTTGCAACTCAGCACCAAACAAACTGCTTTTCTCCCTTCTGTTATTCTTTCTCTTTCCCCATTTGGGTGTTTGCCACGGAGGTGGCAGGGCGAGGCAATATGGTCACCGGAAACAAGCTCTGTATTCCAGCATTTCTTCTGTAGGGCAACGGGCTCACCTTCAGGACCGCTCTGAGATGTTGTCATGAATTTGATTTCTTTCAAAAGCTTTCAACTGCTAAAGGTACAGGAATAACAGGAATAGAAGCCATTGCTATAAATGAAAGCCTCGCTTAATAGTTTTACATGTTTAAGGCTTTGTTGCTTTTGCCTCCTTCCTTTCCTCAGTCTGTAATCAAATCTTACAACAGAGTGAACACGTGAAATACATGGGTGAGCCTCTTCAGACATCAATGTACTAATGCTTTATACTCTTGATTTGCAGCAGAGGGAAGGGTCATGGCTGGCATCTAATACTGTCTTTTCTTCTTCCTCCCCATACCCATAACTTGTGCCTCCCTCTGCAGAACCCCTTCTCCATCACCCTTTTGTGGTGCAACAGTCCTGCTTCCATGCCCACAGATCCCACCTCCCAACAGTCTGTCCTCGAGTGGAGAGGGGAGTTTCTGGTGGATGCCCTGCATACACCAAGGAACAAGATTGGCAGGTTAGAGCCTGTGTGATCACACAGTCATCACTCAACTGAGATGCAATACCTACTTTAAGGCTGTCTGTCTGAAGTTTTCAGGACCTCGTTTTGGGTCAGGGCCTTGCACAATAAATTCCAATGCACTTGGGGCATGCTGGGTTTACTGCACATGCAAGGACAATTTGAGTTCTTGCAGTGGGAGTCAAGGAATCCATCCTTCTCACAAATGAGATTTCAGAGAGAATGGATAGGAAATGAGGGGAAAAGGGCATGCCAAGGAAAATTATAGGATTAAACTGTCATATATCAGGTTAAATGACAGCCTCAGAGCTGTCATTTAGAGCCCTTTCCAAGTTTAATAAAATGTCATATTCTCAGGTGAGCTATTAAAAAAAAAACCAACATCCACAGTGAGGTAGGTCCAAGTAATTGTTTCAGAGGCTAGATGCTGTGCAGGCCTAAGTATAGGGATTTTAAATTGTACACATGCCATCCAAAACA